CGACAAGAACCACCAACACACCAACGCCTGTGGGCATCAGCCACCGGCAGGGAGTGTGGTGAGGGGAGATAGGCCTCCGTACTTTAGAGGGCCTGAGATGTACCCAGAGAGGTTGAGTCTAAGACCCAACCTGACATATAGACACAGACGAACAGGCACACGCAGACACAAACGTGCATTCCCACCCCCATATACACAACCAAATACTCGGCACTCACCCAACATGTAGACAGACACAAATAGACACTGCACAGACAGTCAGACTCCCCAAACATACTCTATATCCCAGGTCCAGGGCCTGCAGTAGCAGGGAGGCCCCGCATCCCAGACCCCAGTCTGACGGCCAGCACCTCCTCCCAGCCCCCCAGCCCTGACGGCTGAAGACCTCAAACCTCCCTACGCCCGCTCATATATAGTGTTGCTGTGTGCTGTTCTAAAGTGCATTTAAAACTCAGGAGAGCATGGTACTAGCTTCCTCTCAGAGAGCAGCACGGCTCCTCCTGAAAACCCTTGGTGTCTAAATGCATTTAAAATTGAGGGTAGGGCACCAGCGCCAGAGGTGGGTTGGAGTACACCGACCATCCTCTGGATTGGATGCTGTAAAACGTGCCCACCCCCAAGGCCCTATATGTATGTGTTATGTGAGGGTGTGAGTAATGTGGATGTCTAGGTTGCAGAATAAAATTGAGGCACAGGCGGCCAGAAGGGGAGAGAGGGGGAGTGCCTCCCCTGCACCCTGGTGACATACCTGCACCCCAAGCATGTGTGGATGGTTTTGGTAGAGCGGGAAGAGGGAGGGAGCTGAGGATGGGGAAGGAAGAAAGGGAGGGGCAAGCGGCCCGCTGACCCCAGTAGGCACCCCCACACTCTGGAACCCACCAGGGCAAGGGGGCCCAGGCCCATCCGGACCGGGGCCCGCAGCAGCAGCACCGCCCAGCCCCACAGAGTCCGGGGCAGCCCACCCGACTCCACCCCAGAGAAAACTGCACCCACCCCATCATCCAATCATCTCCCAAACTACACAAGACAATAGATGCCTAGGTTGAGTTCATTCTCCACCTCTCCTAAATCTCTCCCCCCCACCTGCAGAGTGAGCTCCTGTAGTGAGGAGACCACCTGCAAAGATATAACAGCCTCCCCACCAGTTAGAGAGCCCCCTAGTTGGGCCGATGCACCAGAGGTCCCCTGCACTGGGGCTGAGTCCCCCTGCACCCACCCGCCCACAGCCCCGGCGACACAACAACCAGAACCCAAGCCCCAAGGCCCAGCCAGCACCCCAGACCGGGGGCGGAGCACCGCCAGACCCCCAAGCCTCCACGCCCGTCCCGGACCCACCCAGGGGTAGCCAGGCTATCAGGCCAGTAACCGACGTCTGCCAGCACAGACCCTCCCCCATCTCAGAATATGCTATTTATGCTCAAACTACCCTTAATCATATATTTCGAAATACTTCAGAATATATTAAGTGTAAATCATTTTAGGTTAAATATCCACATGTTGGGCTGCAAATGCGCATGAGTTTCCACATTTACCGCTCAGTGTGTGAGCAATTTAAATGGTACGGATACAATAGCACGCGCAATACACAAGGGCTTATGTGTCCTTGATTCAGATCTAATTGGAAAAATGGAGTGGAAAAGGCCCTGCAGGCTGCTAATATTTAAACAAATGTTGGTGTAGTGGCAGGTCATTTAGCTGCAAAGAAACTAGAATGAGTCACTAGGGATTAGACTGATAGCAATTTCAGGTATGTGGACACGTCGTACCGTTTGCACACACACAAAAAAATGCAAGGAATACAAAGTTGGTCATATGGCATATGTCAGCTGTAAGTGCTGCAGTTGACATATGGTGACACTGGTGCAGATATGTGGATTATTCAGATGTCATGGCCAGGAGCTTATTTAAACATTACTTTTATACATGAAGAGCTTAAATATGTATACTGACTCTTGTGATGCACTCAGGAAAGAATGATTCCAATATGTGGGGCATGATGGTCATTTTATTGTTAATCTTGTAAAATGAAACAACCGTATTCTAACGTATAGTAGATATAATATTTTTAAGAGTTCACATGATTTTTGAATTTGTTGTTTTCTTAATAATTCATAGCTAAACCCTGCTTGGCTACATGAGAACATATTCATCATGCCTTGTGGGTTGTCATATTATCAAAGTAGAAACTATCATTAGAACAACACGTGCCCACCATGTAAGGTTACGACTGCTATCATTAACAATGCAAAGAAATGTCAGCCACCCAGAATACCAACCAGAAGAAGAGGCCCTCTGATGGTTTATTAGCAAGCACGACACGTAAAATGTCTGCAGTGTTTGTTTGCAAAGAAGAGTGGAGGAATATTTGACATTTGTGCTTGGAGCGACGTGTTATAATCTTCCCAACATTTACGCCTATGCACTCAGGAACATGGGATCCTATTAGCTGGGCTTCAGTGAGACTCCCCAGCTAATTCTGCTTTTTTTTTCTCTCTCTCTGTTTTTCTCTTTGTTGGCTGAGTTAGTACTCCAGAGATCAGGTGCTCACATGGAAGAAAGGCACTTAGACAGATGACAAAGAAACAATAATATAATTGCTTTGAATCTTAAATCTGAATTGCAAAATTTCACTCGTGAATTTCGATGTTCTTTGTGTTAACACTGATTTTTAAGCAACCTGAATCAATAACAGGCCGCTGCATGGGCATGAAGTGCTCAGTAATTACAGAATGTTTGTGAAATGCAAGAATTGATGTTACAAGGTAATTAACGTAAAGGTTTATTATAAAATGACATAACGTTACATAATGTACGGCGCATATACTAACTCTGTGACAATTATACTGATTAAAAAAAGGTCGTTACAGTAAAATGTTGGCACACACTATTCAGATAATTCAAAAGGAATAAAGGCTCCGTAACACAATATTCAATTATAGGCCCATAGGCAAGCTGCCTCAGTGGACAAATAAATTGTTTCAGTGAGAAACTAATGCGTCTGGGAATAATGGTGGGTGCCCAGGATGATAATGTATACTAGTGTCTGTGTCTAAAACTTATGAATATTTTGTTACAGTATGCAATCAGAAACTTTACATTAATCATTCATAGTCCTTGTGGCCCATTATTTCTGCTATTAAATTATTAATGCCTTGAGCTGACTTTCTTCACATAATCAAGTACCTATTGTTGGCTGCTATACATTGCTCCTGTATATGCAGACAGGGCCATAAAATAAGCCACTGAATTACCATAGATACAACAGGCATACTTCGATAGATGTTCTCATCCCTTTGTTTGGTTTACGCTGCGGGAAAGAAGATGGTAAATATCATGTGGTGACCCAGCTTTGTGTCTTTTCTATCCCCTTTTCTCTCCCATCTCCCAAAACATCCATAAATATAGAGTTTTTCTTGGAACTGCTGGACAATTCTGAGAAGTCACTCAACAGTATGTTCACACGGACATACGGGAAGCTGTATATGCAGAACTCTGAAGTATTCCAGGACCTGTTCACTGAGCTAAAGCGCTACTACACGGGGGGCAACGTCAACTTGGAAGAGATGCTAAATGACTTCTGGTCCAGGCTGCTGGAACGCATGTTCCAGTTACTTAACTCCCAGTACCACTTTACAGATGACTACCTGGAGTGCGTCAGTAAATACACAGATCAGCTAAAGCCTTTTGGAGACATTCCCAGAAAACTTAAGGCCCAGGTCACCAGAGCGTTCATCGCTGCAAGGACGTTCGTCCAGGGGTTAATGGTGGGCCGGGAGGTTGCCAACAGGGTCGCTAAGGTGAGTTTAATTTTTTTTCTCATGGCTGCTTTGAGTGTGATGTTGCTTTGTGACTGTTTAGCACTGCTGGCTTTAGCTTTAATGCAATAAACATTACAACATATCCTTTAACATGACAACTTTCTGTGGATATGTTTGATCCCCAGGTCGTTGCATGAGATTTAAATGCTTTGCAGCTGTTTAAGACATAGGCATAGACTTTATTTAATCCCACACTGGGGAAATCCACTTGTTACAGCAGCACAGGGGACACAAGGAAAAAGGGGATTATACATATATTAGAAAAACAATAAAAAACAGAAAAAAAAGTGTACAAAAAAAGCCAAAATACATGTACAGATGGTTACTATGGTTTTGTCATTATGCATCTTAAACAATTGCAAATGAATAATAGTTCATGCACAGACCGGATGTGGAGGGCAGTTTGAGACATTTTTCATAGATATATGTGGTGATGCAGACGGTTGGATATGCATTCATTATTTTACTCCTTAACAAAGAGCAAAGCTTTGCAAAAGGGAAAAGATTAAAGCACAGATCAGCTGAGATTTCATGTTGGAATTGTGTTTGCATTGTTCGTCTTTGCAGTTTGTATTTTGTCATGTTTTTTTTGTTTGTTTGTTTGTTTTTCAGTGTGCATAAGTAAAAATTTGCTTCATTTCAATGTGACAGTTTATTTAAAACTAATTAGTGTTTCGTCTGAAATCTTAGTAGATTGGATTGTAAAATAAGTATATTTAAGACTGTTATCAAATCCTGAAGATTTCAAATGTTTTTTTTCAAAGGCTTAGAGGATACGTTTTCTAATTCCACGGTTAACACAGAAAGTTATGCAACAGTTTTTAGTGGACATCAAAACTATGAGATATGATATAACCGCAGCTGTTTGCAGATGGCACGATTCAAACACCGGTATTAATGAGCCGTTGAGTTATTTACATTTGGATTCCATCATTCAGTTTAAAGGAGAGGGGGCTTCTGAAAACTGTGGAAATAGATGTGGAAGGTGGGGGCTGAGAGAGCTTAATTAAACAGTTTCATTTTGAAGCCAGTTTCTTCTAGTTATAGTCATCATCAGCTTTTGATTCTGTTGGTTTACAATTTATAAAACACAAAAAAACGCATTCTGGATGATTTGTGAGCATGAGATTAAAAGGCACGCTCTAAAGAAAATACTTTTTATATACTCTAAACACGTAACACCTTTAAGGCTTACTGAAACAGATTTGTCCTTAAAATAGAAACTAAATTTTTAGTTTCTGCTATTTTGCAGAGGCCTTAAATGACTGAGAAATCATAACAATAATTTTAGTCTGGAAAGTGCTCGCCCTTCCAAAAGTAATATTCTTCACCTGCTTTTAGACATAAATCATATCAAACTAGATGCTCATAAGTTCAAACATTAAGTTTTAAAAATGTCTTCAGAGTTCAGCAGCGATCCGATTCGTTTCCTTTTTAGCTTAAAGCTCGCCGTGCCTTTCAATTCGACAAGGGAGAGAAACTGTAAGAAGAGCAAAGAAGAAGAAAGTGGATGCAAGAGTGGCAGGGCAAAAAAAAGAAATGATCTGTGCAGTTCACTTTTATGTTGGAGGCTTAACTCCCTGTGTAAAGTTGAGACAGATCATAGAGTGTGAACACAAGTGAATGCATTAAATTTATATTAGAACTTTGGTCTGTGACTGCATAAAAAGTAATGTTTAGACAAAAGCCTACACAGTCAACCTTCACCTATGGTAATATTTCACCTAAGTTATCTGTTTCACTGTGAAGAGCAATTTTTAGGGTATTTAGTTGCATCTTTTTCATAACTTGGATGACACTCAGATCTACTGCTGCAAAAAATGACAGGGAAATTGGTGCACTAATGTTTCTTAAGTACAGTGAATACTCGAAATGCTGATGCTTTTCAGAAATACAATGTGAACAGCAAGCTAGAATACAGTAGGCTATTTTTCTTTGGCAGTTAAGCTAAGCTGGAGTTTGACTTTCTTTGCATAAGTGAAATCATGTTGCTTCAAGTCCCACAACATCATTTCAGTCATCTCACAAAAACTAGGACTAATATATTGTAAGGTTTATTCAAATCCTTACTTTAGATAATTACAGCACAGTACTGTAATGTTCTTTAAAATAATTTTTTAAAGTGTTGTAGTCGATGCACTGCAGAGTTTCATGCTGACAAATAGAGCTGCCAGCAGTTCACTGTAATTCAGCAGGAAGCTTTGTTACAGTGTACACTGTATTACGACTTATAAGAAGTCACATCATACTTAACCACAAGAAATGGTTACATTGAAACTCACTGTCTAATTTCTTCATATTTTTTCATTAGATCAAAAACCAAATCATCCCTTAATTTATATTTTATCTTTGAACTTCTATCATCAGTGTGATGTATAATCAGTTTCCCCCAGTGCCCCACCCTATACTTGCACTATTTCACAGGGTTGTGAATTTTCCACCTCAGTATTATGTACATATTAAAGTGCTATGTCATATTCTGCTGCCGTGTATAATCCCTAAAGAGCTGGTCATTTTTAATGCTCATAATGTCTTTTAGCTTACTACTGAGCTAGTCACCATTCCCTTAGTGGCATAGCCATTTCAGAGGAAGAGTTAAAATGAGCACATCTATACATCTGTCCTAGGCCCAAATGGCACCGCCACTCTGGATCAAATCCCATATTCCCTTCTTCCTCATCAATTATGAAGCGGAGCCTGGAAACACTGTGGCATTGCTGAAGGCTGTCAGGCCAGTGAACAACCGAAGAAGTCGAGGTGAAAAGTTGTTTGACATGACAAATCACCTTGACCTGAGATTCACCCTCAGTGCCATGCTGTTTTCAGTGGCACTGCACACATGCATCTCCTTACCGCACACTGTTAGAGTGAATAGCAATGTAAAACTTCTTGGGTTTAAGCACACTATTGCATCCCGTTCAATTGTAGATCCCAAAGGATCCGAGACTTTTTATATGCTTTATGGCAGAATGCAGTTTTGGTTTTTGAGTTACTACTGCAATTACTACAGCTTCATAAATCAGTGTTTGGTCATTTGGCAGTGTGTTTTATTAGCAGACCATTTGCGAACAAATAGTGTTGAAAAATACCTCAGAGCTAGACTGCAGTGACAAACACACCATCTGTCACGAAGGTAGAATTCTGTGCTCTGATTCTGCTGTAAGTTTACTTAAAATTATTCTGAGGAGAAGCAAAAGTCAGCATTACTTTACAGTAAATACTTTTTTTACAGAATAAATGATAAATCGGTGCATATGTACGTATAAAGATAGTTTAGTGAAATGAAAATTTATAAACTTTTTATTGTCCCTGATGGATTGGCAGCATCGAGATTGTGCTCGATTTCATCATAGCTTGTCCAGTTGACAAAAGAGTCTCACTACAAACTCTATTTACAGGCGGTCTTAGACGATGGAGTCTTTTCACTTGCCATTGATTTTTTTTCTTTTTTTTTCACACATGTGCTTTACAGGTTGCTAGTGAAAGATCATTAGACCAACAGGTTTGTCAGAGACATTGCAAACAAATGGCGAAATAAATCGTCTGTTGCTACAGGTTTTGAGTCTCATTTACATGTAAAGTGCCGCACGCTGCAAATGATGCTTAGTGGGTAACTCTAACAACACTGGGGCTTAAATTCAAATATACAAACTGATCATTAAATGTTTAAAACTCGAGGTTGTAGAATGGAAAAACACGCTTTGTCCATGTGATGCCTGCCTTCAACCAGCTGTCTGTTTAATTTTCCATGTTACTTTGCATCCGGATTTTGCTCCAATACGATGAGCCGTAAATATTTACAGCTAATACACAGTGCTGTATGGTGTAAAGTCAGAGCGGGAGAGATATCACGCCATAAAATGAGATTGCACTAGACTTGCACTGAACAGTTTCCTGGACCTCGATCCTGGATTAAGAGCAGAATCCCTTTGGATTACAGTTTATGATGACCATTAGGAGTTTTATCCTTGCGGTACTTAAAACACAGTCCAACTACATTAAGACCTACTCAAAGAAGATTGTAGGGATTTGGAATTTTTGAACAGTTTAAAGTTCAGGCATTTAAAGCACTTATCACTCACTCTGCATACGCATGGGAAGCCGGCCTAGTCCGTGGTGCACTTTTGCTCACGATGATGGAAGGAAGTAGGGTATTTTGTAGAGAGGGATTTGTTTTCCCTGATGGCTTATGCTGCCACGGTGATCTCATTATACACTCATTTCCGACCACGAACTGTCAGATAATTTCACATTAAGCTCCGAGGCAGTTTCTAATCTTTACACAACATTTACCTTAGATTAATCCTCTGCCAGATTTCTTTGCTGACACGTGAGAAATATCATCATCAGTTCCATGTGCTTTCCATACGTGCTCATGTTTTGTTTGTCTGCTTTTTGAACTCGCTGCCCTACATTACTTTTAACGAATGCATTCAACATTCAGCAAAAAAAGACAGAAACACAAGCACATATTCACTGCTGACACACAGGTTAATATGTGCTTGTTTGAATTTAAACAGTCCTACTAATCAGATAGCATTTTCATTCACTTACAGAAAATGATGCCAGTCATTTTACATGTTTTCACTTTTGTTGTTCTAATCGCAGTTAGCACATTCATTTAGCTGTTGTGCAAATTACTGCCGTGTCTAAAATATGCACCAGCTGTACTTCTATACATTCTAGTGGTCAGCAAAGTTGTGTTAACAGAGTTAGTTCTAAGAAAAAAAGGTCAAGTACAGTACTGTCATTTAATCTGCACACAGACAAACGGATATGTTTCTTTTTATAACATACTACATTATAAAGCCCTGAGATTTGTTTTTCTTTTCTGTCTGATGCCTGTATGATGTGTGTGACATATAATGGCAAAACAGGCCACTTTTAGAACTAAACCATTTTCACACCATGAATACTAACTTTTGAGTATAAACTTAATGTCTACTTTATTAGTTAAGCCTTACTTGGAGAAATGCCTT